TAGCCATTTTGGAAAATTGAGAAATACAGGGTATTAAATAGGTGCACGGATAAGCGAACAAATAACACGGTAATGTTCTGCCTTTTTTACTTGTAAAATATAGTGAAAGCAAAGAATGCGTTACTTATTTCACTAGTTTTTGTTGGGCTCGCTGTCCCTCCAAACAGGAAGCCCGTCAAAATGGTTAGGTGCGAAGAGTAAGGGTTGTCGTACGTATTCCATATATGGTATTAACTAACAAGCGTATAGCGGTACCTAACAAGCGAATAGCGGTCCCTAAGGAATCCCAAATTTCCGGTGCTATTAGCAATGCAAAATACTTTAAATGTCACAAACAATTTGTTGTTTGTCAGCGTAATCTCTCTCGTGGTCAAGTTAGTTAAGGCGCTTTACATTTGTAGTCGAAGGGGTAGGTTTAGGGAAAAGGACGGGTCAGGCTATAAAATGTTAAATTCATAATTCTAAGTTAAAGTTGCCACTAAGTTGCCAYGTAAAAACACTGGAAATATTRCGCGAGATAGGAGGAATATCCTGTCTTTCTAAACTTTCTAAAATAGCTAGCCCAACTTCAAGCTCTGAAATAACGTCTAGTTTATTCAAAATATATTCAAAATTCCATGTAAACAACAGACACAATAACATCTTACTATGTCTGGTTAGTTCAACAATTTTCAATGCAATTTTTAAGAGAAAAGGACCGCATCTCTATAAAACCATCATTTTGCTGATGATGTCCCAATCTATTTTGTCCATGATTGTTGAATATAGTCAAGAAATAACGAATAGAAAAAGCCTGTAATTTGTTTTGGATTGTTCTTTACAGGGATCACGAGCATAGTTATTTTGGTTGGCTTGATCAAGCAGGAGGCACAGRAGTTCAGGAAGCTTTTACGAAGTGTCTAAACGTCAGGATATTTCGATAGCCCACTTTCGATATTTKGGTTCGCTACTTAACCACGCACAWAAAAGAATTGAAGACTAGGGTCCGGGGAAACAATGCAAAATCCTTTTGTTTCCCCTAAGCCTCGTCCGTCCGACGRACYTTTTTCCACTTTTCTCTTGTTATATTATTTGAATTAGTGTTTGTTCTATCGATTTTTCAAACAAATATCAATGCATGGCGTTTAGTTTTTTTGATCACTCCGTCAGGCTGACTGAAGTTTAAACACACAAAACTTTTAATCCCGGAAATGCAACTTCCAGCATTTTGAGGGGCTTCGAGAAAATGATTTAGTGAATAGAGGGATAGAGGAGCTTACTCTCAGTAGCATTTTTCTAATAAGCAAATAAAAAGATGGCCGAAAAAATTTGTTAGTGTTACGTGTATAGCCTAATTTTTATTTATGGTAGGGGGGCATGCACGGTATAATTTTTTTTCATGTGTGAGGGGGAACGTCATTATATTTTATGCTCTTTTCATACATTTTCCAACAACTCCCCCAACCTTTTACCAACAGTAGACAAGTTGGTGAGAAAAACACAGTTTTTTTTWAACATTTTTATTTCAAAAGACAAGTTTTTATTTCAAAAAACACAGTTGATCATAACATGTCAGTCATTTTTATGGCAAAAAAAACACGATTGCATATCTCAAGATTCTGGATCGAAAGTTTGAAAAAAAAACAAGGGAGCCGCTTACAGGCACCTTTCCCTTCCCATCGTCCCTTGCCCTCTCSTTATCACCTCATTTATGTTGATACAGTCTACGTTAGAACAGACATCATAACACTTTCCGAGCTTTCTATTCATGTTTGTTACTGAACGCCTCACCACGCCGGGTATCCAATATAGCTGTCGGAAGACAATTTTTGTAAACCGATTCGTTTTCAACAGATGGCGCACAAAAGAAATCTCTTTTTGACARGTGCATTAGCCTATAARTGTGCATTAGTCAACGGCACTGTCTTAATTCACGCAGACACTTAAAAGCGATCTGAGATAATAGAGAGTTTAATACGCGTTTACGGCGAACGCCAAACGTCAAAACTGATCACGTGATTAGTTTTTCTGTCTTAACGCTCCGTTCTTTCGCGATTGTGTATAAAATAGATCACTTTTTCGTGCATAGTCTCATCACKATTCCTTTCAAAGCCTTTTTACGTTTCTTTGACATTTTGAGACAAAGCATGAAAGCCAATTTTACGTTTGGCGTTTGCAGTAAACGTGAATCTAAACTCTCTAATTGTGAACGACCATTGCAKAGAGAGTACACTCCGGCCATAAAAGCTCTCCGTGTGAAATGCTATTTTCGCGAACATTTCCGTTGGAAAAACCGTATCTGAAAGCCACCGTACGTGACGCAGATGATTTTTGTTGTCATATAAACAGCCGTTAACAAAGCTCTTCCTGATGGACGTGCTTTTCAGTTCAATATTCACGTCGAGACTGTCGAGAGACAATGGCTTGTTGACCGAACTAAGTGCATTTACATAAGAAAAGAAGCTGTTTTGTGAGTTGACAAAGCCAATCACCAATATGCCAAATTTTACATACTTATTGAATAGCARGCTTAAGCGAACCAATCACTGCCCTGTATTCTCAATGCCGGTATTGAATTGTACCAAAGCTTTAGATACAGCGTTTATGGAACTGACACTAATTACGTCCCACCATCCTTTGACTCTAAATGAAAAGCCAACAGCCCAATAGTCGTGGTGGGTAAAATTAGCCTTTGAAACAGACACCAAACGATGGCCATGTCTAGTTGTTCTACAATGGACGAAAACTTGATCCGCTCACCCAAATGCGCCCGGTGCCGCAATCATGGTGTAACATCATACCTCAAGGGCCACAAACGATACTGTCAGTGGAGGGACTGTACTTGCACTAAGTGCAGTTTAATAATTGAAAGACAGCGGTTGATGGCAGCTCAGGTCGCTTTGAAGCGTGAAGAAGACGATGTTATTGTGTACCCAGAGACGTCACCAAGAGTTTTGCTTTACCGTCAGACAAGTCCTACGAGAGTGGAAGGCGTCGTTCGTCCAGTAAATGAACCAAATAATAATAAGCCGTACGCATCTAAGAATACTTCAAGCGAATCGATGGGAGAGTCGGAGGTGCCGTTTACACAGGGTAAGGCTATAATCATACACAAGTGTTATATGCATATAGTGAAGGTTGAATCAAGTGCTAATTGCACTATCTATTGACTCGATACTCGTTTCAAGATTTGTTACACAAATCGTTAGAAAAAAATCATTTCGTTAAGAGCTGCTCAATTTTTATTGAAGTTTTTCAGCGGAATTGAAAGCAGGTGATAATAATTGATTAAAGAAATCTAAGAGAGCAATACTTAAGAAGGGTTATCAACGTTTGCAGGGAATTTATTTGATTCAAGTTACGGCATTACAGCAAATCCTATGATCAAAAAGCTAACCGCAGAGCTTAGAAATTTGTTGCAATTTGAAAAAAATGAACTTGCTTTTTTAGAGCTTTAAATATCTTTTCTGTGGCAGCACCTTTTCTGTTTTCTCACTTTCTTAACAGCAAATTCAACATATTTTTATAATTATTKGGTCGAGATRGTTTTGAACGTTGAGGAAGTGTGAGGTAATGTAAGGCATATAAAACACATTAACCATCAATTAGACTTGAAAGACTTGAATGACAAACGGATAAATCAGCTATCCTTGGAATTAACATACGGTTACTTTTATAACATGATTCAACGTTGCGCTTTACAAGACAAGTTGGAGGTTTTTTTTTATATATTTGAGATTCCCCATAAAACACTACACATAACCATAGTTAATAGATTAACTATAACTATGCCATAAACATAGGCCATATACATAAAACGAGCAGTAAACTGAACTACAGCGTTATCATCAGCGTTATCATCAGCGTTATGGACATGAATATACTGTTCAATTAGTGTGAGGTTTGACTGATTTGATGTTCACTAATCCCCTTTTTCCTTTATATTCCTTTTATATTCAACCCTCTCTCATGCAATGTTTTACTTTTGTTTTCTAAGGGTTACCAGTAAAGCGACGGTTTTCTGACAAAGAGACTGGGTCTTACATTTCTCGGTCGCCGTCCGAAACAGCCGACGACGTGTTCATCAATGAATCCGAAAATGTGTCCGACAGTGACGTCAGCTCCCCGGAAAAAACGAAGAAGCACCGAGTCGATTCCGACCAAAATGGCCATGACGGGTCAAGAATAYCTAATAGGGAAGGAGTGAAAGATRCAACTCAAATCCCGCCTTTAGAGTTACTAGAGAGACTTTTTCCGACACAGAAGCTAAGTGTCCTTGATCTTATCCTGAAAGGTTGTWATGGCAACGTCCTCCGGGCCATAGAGTGTGTATTACCGAGCCATGAGAAAGCCCTAAAGCTAGCAAAGACCAGCGAGCCAGCGTTTGTGCAATATAGTCCGACTATACGAACGCGGTTTACACCTCAAAGAACCGGGTTTATCCCAATTAATGCCGTTCGTCCAGCGGCATACCCGATGTTTTCGAGTCACCCCGCAGCGTTACCATATCCCATAATGGAATACGTATCCCATCAGCGACCACGAGTGCTAAGTGCGCCGTGTACTAAGAGCGCTTGCACAGAAGAGCAAAGTATGAAGGCGCACGGAGATATGAATAATATCCTGGGCCGAGTATGTCCGGAATGCTCCACAACATGTTCACCGACAAGTAACTTTTGTTATTCATGCGGTAAAAGTTTTAAAGAAACGTAACAGAAACGAAATGAAATTTGTTGAAGAGCCCTCGTTATGTATTAATTCCGACTTAAGCTGTGTATTATTATTGACATTAAAGTATCTTTTAATTTTTTAAATCGACAAAAGTCCYTCACCGAAAACACCTGTGTTTGAGTCTTTAAAAACACACACTTTTGAGACGTGCGCTTAACCAAAGCTTTCCCTTTTGGTTAGAACTGTTGAAATACTAGWAATATCGATTAATGAGTTGCTGAGTTGCTTTCTGAGAGGGAGGACGCTCTTTGATGAAGGGTTTCGCAAGCTCGTSTTGCATCCACTTAAAAACGATTACGCTTTTAAACCATTTTCGACAACAAAGCATGACTGGGAAGTACAGTCCTTAATTTGCATGTCCTTTATAATAATCATAAAATCCGTTTTGCGTTTTCTTTGAAAGTCATTTACTGCACATAAAAATCTATTTCTAAAAATGCTACGCATTTTATTTTCGTAGGAAACCGATTTCCCATCATGCTTTGTTCTCAGTGTAAAAGGCGACCCTGCACAATGGCCTCTGCAACTACGTTGTTGAAGTGCAGCTCTGCAGTTGCTCTTTTGAAATTTTCATGCAAGCATGTTAACTGGAATAAAACCCCGATTGTCTGGTTTTATGCAGAATACGATAATAACTGTGTAGGAATCGAAAGTTAACCATATTCGCTTTCTTGGGCTCCCTGTGTTTACTTAATCTGTGCGCATGCGTAATATAGTCTAAGTGTCAAATCCAAAATGGCGGCTGGTTACTTGGAAATTGTTTGTTTTGAATATCCACTAGAAATTTTGAACTACTGACTTGTAATTTTGCAAGAAATGTTTATGGTGGAACATGGTTAAGCAAGGAATTCAGATTTATGCCCGTGTAAAGCCAACAAAAGCAAAAACTGCAGAGGTAGGGCGCAATTTGTGAAGAATGATATTTTTTAAAATTTCTTTAAACTTGTTAACGTTAAGAAAGTCAACTGGATTTAAACTTAAACATCTTAATAAGCATAAAAAAGAATTGATTTAAATAGAGTTTATATTTGATGGGATCTTGAGTAATAAAACTAAGACAAAAAAAAAACATAAACAATATGAATGTCAAAACTGCCAAACAAGATTGAAAAAAGACGTAAAAACAATTAAGAATTAAGCTTATCAAAGGGCRCATTATTTTTGTGTGATTAAGCTTTACTTAATTTCATTAATAGCAGRAATGGTGTATATTTTTGTAACAATAAGTCATTGTTACTCACAGAAAGATGCCTTAAACTGTAGTTGAATGATAATAAAATAATAAKACTAATGATAATATTAATAATATCTTGTTTAGTCTTACGACATAGAAGAAGCAGATGATTCGTCCATTGTCACTATCTCTGTCCCCAAAGATCTTGCAGATGGATTCATTAACAACAAGAGAGATATTTACAAGTTTAGGTATTATTAAAGACAAATATACAAAGGAACAGGGGGGGGGGGGTCTATTTTTGTCAGCTTTATCAGAGAAGACATTATTTTTGCTTAAATTGTCCTCCAGAAACTGCTATGACGACACATGCAATTAGGGGTCTACAGATTTTGGCGTAGCAGTTTCTACTTGTAGTACTGTTAGATATAGCCTGCAAATCCATGCATGCCTCGCTCGCTGACTTATGGTAGTTTGGTTGCCTCTAGCCCAAGTTCCGTCGGACCAGCTATTATAATCCCTCATGATAAACAAATACATGTGTACACTCCGATCCTCCTTCCCCATTGTTTAATATTTTATATTGAATTTGAATATTATTGTACACAATGTCCTCACACTAAAAATGAACAGAGGGACACAAATTTTTTAAATGATCTAGCTTTTTTATAGTTACTTATTGCAATATCCTGCATAAAGTATGTCCTCCAAATGTCCATAATTGTAGGAAAGATGGGCTATGCAGGCATCTCAAGATGTATTTTGTATTTCTGTCAATTTTAAAAAATAGGTACATAAAGTCCTCAAGGGAAGTTCACTCATGCTCACCATTTTTAAAAGTTATTGAATTTTTTAGTGAACATAACCAATCAATATTTTCAACTGCAATATTTTTAATAGGTTTAATAGAGTTTTTGACCAAAAATGTACTCAAGATGAAGTATTTGAAAATGTGGCTCAAGGAGTTATAGATAAGTATGTTATCCATTCTTGCCTCTGTTGCAGACTTTTATTGTTAATGTTATATTCAATCTATTTTGTTGCATTTTCAGTGTCCTTGCYGGCTATAATGGTACAATTTTTGCATATGGGCAGGTAAGTAGCATGTCAAAATTGAAGGCTGTTGTTTTGTTTTTAAAAGTGTTAATATCAAATCCTACTGCTATGTCCTTTTATAAGTGGCATCAGTTTTTATATTAATCAAACAATAACATGCAATGTTACATGTAGATATTCAACATGCTTTGTTATTGAGTAATAATAATTKAAATGTGTCTTGTCCAGAAAAAAAGTCTGTGAAAAAATGACCAAGCAAACAAGTTTGACAAGAATGTGACGAGAAATTTATTGTGTATTTTGTGTTTCCTATGATATCGTTAGGCTCCCTTTTAGATTTGTTTTAACAGATAAGGTTTAAGTTCATGTCTAAAGAAAATTTGTAAATTAATCTAGTTAGCCAAAATCTTTTAGGGGTAAAAATCTTAATAATATGTTGTCCTGCTTGGTAAGACTTTGGTATCTTTTATGGTTATCTTTTTAAAGTTTCCGACAAGCATCCTTGCCCAGGCAATACATAAATCTATAATTCATTTTTAAAAAACAAATTGTCAATTAAGTTTTATGTTGTTGTTCTTTGTTCATCTAGACTGGTTCGGGTAAAACCTTTACAATCACCGGTGGAGCAGAGAAGTATTCTGATAGAGGTCTTATTCCAAGAGCACTGTCGTATGTCTTTGAATACATTGAAAAGGTGAGGATTTATTTGTTGTACAAACTGTTGAATACTATTGAGTTTCCTTTATGTGTCATTTATAAGATAGTAAAATAATCTGAATGAACCTACTGTATTTGGTTGCAGACCTATCACAAGGTCACATCAAAATTAGTTATGTTACGTTATGAGTTTCGTGTGTTATTTTTTTATGAAACTGTATTAACTGAAATGCAATACCATAAAAATGTTAGGATTTACAAGGTTTGGAGAAGACATCTGCTCACTGGTCACTTTTCTTGTGTTTGTGTTCATTTCAATAAGAGTTATTTTAGAAAGTGGTCCCCATTCCTCCACTCATTTTTGCAGTAGCCAATGTAACATCATTGTGAGACCGGAGGGGGAACTACCCTATATTTGCTTTACGGGTATGTGCCGCAGAATAGGGTCCCTTTTTTCAGAGCTCCAAGTCTGGGATAGGGTATCATTTTTTGCCCATTTGTCTGGGAAAGGGTTTTTTTTTTTGTCTGGGATAGGGTATAGTCTCATTGTCTAGGGGAGGGTGGTGTTTTGCCTGTGATTGTATTGGCTAGGCCACGCTTTCAGCGCTAAAAATAGTAATCTGTCAGTCATGTTTGTTAACGAAATGTGATATGATCGAGTTGAAGTGTTACAAGTACCGTATGCATGTTCTTTTTGTAAATAGACGAAAAAAGTTTAGTCAAAAGGAATAAGTTTTTTACTAATGCTCTACCTGTTTGTGTGAGAATGACAGTACTTAACAATTTAAACATATCCAGATGTAGTYTTGTACTTGATAAATGTATAAACATGTATGCATTAAAAACTGACTTTTTGATTTAGTCTGGGATAGGGTGTACAATTTGTACCTTTAGCCCAGGTTGTGTATACATGTAAAATCACAAAAATTGGTCTGGGATAGGGTAAGGGTTCTGAGGGTCATGTGGCACACCCCCACCCAAGTTGGAGAGGTAGTACCCCACCCCCCTCCCACCCCCTGGGTTGTGAGATAGGGAAATAATTATATGGTTTTTTTAATTCTGCAGAATTCAGAAATGGTGTACACAATCCATATTTCATACTTGGAAATTTATAATGAAAGTGGATATGACCTTCTTGACCCTAAACATGAAGCATCCAAACTAGAAGACTTACCGTAAGTTTTATTGCTACTAGCAGTGTCTATAACCAAGTCAAAATCTTTCAACACAGAATCATTTAGGAAAAGGAAAGTGTTTTTTTAGGGAGTGTCTTGACTCCAGAATCTTTAGAGGACATCATTAGTTTAAAAATATAATTTTTTTTTTTTTGTAGTAAAGTTACTCTTCTAGAAGATGGTGATGGTTCCTTCCACTTAAAAAACCTATCTTTGCACCAAGCAACCAATGAAGARGAAGGTAACTGGTGATTGTAACAAAAATATTGTTTGATGTACATGGACGTAATATATATAACTCTGCAGCTTTTTATACTCAGCAGTAACTTGCTTTTATAACTTATTTTTTTCAGCATTAAATTTGCTGTTTCTTGGTGATACCAACAGGATGATAGCTGAGGTACTTGGCATATATTATATAACCTGTACCATGCAATCAATAAAAGATTAAACAACGTTTTATTACTAACTTGTAGTGTGTGTTTAGGGAATTTTTACACGTTTTTTATATCAAAATAAACATGACAACATGCATTACCCAATCACGGCCTAAAGAGTCTGTAATCTAGGTTGCTAATTGTCAATCACAAGATTGTTCATAATTATGTTACTGTACCTGAGAGTACATGTTCACACTCACTATCGCTGTAGCCACAGATATGCAGTACTACTCTCCTCATTAGATGGACTATTTGAATAAAAGTTAATGTTATGTTGTGTTAAATATATTTTAGACTCCAATGAATCAAGCATCAACAAGGTCTCACTGTATATTTACAATCCACATTTCCTCAAGAGAACCTGCTAAAGCTACTATAAAAAGAGCTAAACTCCATTTAGTAGATCTGGCAGGGTAGGTTAGTTATGGGTTCATTATGTCCACRCAGGTAGTTGATTGTTCTTTTGGTTGGTTTAGTGGTTGATTTCTTGTTTGGTTGTCAAAATTACAGTTCTAATTAAACCATAGAAAACAAATGATTGTAGTATAGTACACGTATAATTTATTGAGCACTATTTTGAYGTGCTGTGAAGGCGATGTGTTCTTGAATCACTATTTTTATTTGGYGTCACTACCAGGTGAGATTCCGTTATCATGACTTGTCATGTCCATGCCATGATCTAAGAAATGGCGAATACATGTATGGAGACCGGAGCTTGTTTGTTTACTGATATTCTCACACTAAAGCTTGATTATAAAGTCTGCATATTATAACCGTCGAACGAATGACAACAGCAGCAGTTGCTGCTTAAATAAACAAGCAAGTGTATACAAAACTCAATAAATCACATACATGGTGCTAGAATTGCATAAATAATACATAATTATACATATTAAATAGTCTGAATGTGATGTGAACTAATGGACATATATAGTCGATTGAGAAAAGGTTGTTGTCGGCTGGGTTTCACGGAATGCAACTAGCCCGAACTGGTTTCTGGGTAAAAAATCAATGAACTAAAAAACAAAAATSAACTGGCAAATTAGAGATCTGAACGCCTTTGTGATTGGAAGAGCTGACACATAATGTGTGAAAAAAAAATTGAAATCACRGGAATTTAATTATGCATGTGATGTTGATTTTTGCATCTCATATTGTTTTCCATCATGGCGGGGAATACAATGTTCAATGTTTGTCTTCGAGTTCTTAAAAAAGAGAGAAAAGCCGAAACAAATTGATACTATACTAGAAGGTTTTGTTTTGCCCAATTTGCCAGTTCATTGATTTTTACCCAGAAACCTGTTGGGGTTGGTCGTGTGCTACGAAGTCCGGTCGACGACAACCTTTTGTCAATTGACTATATACTACATGTGTTTGGGTGTATTTTGGTGGGGCGAGATGGCAAGGGGGCGAGATGGCAAGGGGGCAAGATGACTGTAAATTTCCTTTGCACATTCAAATGAAATGCACTCTACTGGTTTTTGTGTACTTTTAATTGACAAGGATAGGTTAGCCCTGTTTCCCATCTCAAGTAATTTTCAAATCTTAACTAACTAGTAATATCTATTTTCTGTTTTAGTTCAGAGAGGATTGGTAAAACTGGCATTGGAGGAACACTACTCACAGAAGCCAAGTACATTAATTTATCACTACACCACCTTGAGCTGGTACATGACTCATCCATGTTGTTCTTTATTATTTTTTCTAAAATACTTAGGATACTACGCGTGCTGTGATTGGTCGAAAACCATGTTTGATTACAGTATCAAAACACGCTCGCTACGCGTCGTGGTTTCCTACGCTTCTCTCGTGCTCTCCCTACATCCCGCGTGTTTTGATCAGAGTATCAAACACGGAATTTCGTCTTTTATTCCTTAAATAATCATTTATGACAGAAAATCACTTTAAAATGCTTGACTTTTATTCAGAACTATAAATAATGATAAATGTTATTCTTGTTCATTTTCAATATACCTGAAAGCTGCCATCTTGGATGAACTTAAATAAAGGATTTCTCATTTAGAAACTATTGTTCATTCATCCAACATGGCTGCCAGACGTTTATATTTTGAATCTCATGSGAATGATTGAATATAATCAATATAAGATAAAAATCAGATATTGGAAAATACATGTAATGAMTAATTCTTTTATTCCATAAATATTAGAAATGTTACATTAGAACATTTTTTTTTATTATGTTGCGGCCTTGTGTGACTAACATGTATACACGAACTTATATTAATATTTAGAAATATTTCTTGATAGATTAAATATTGTATGATTTTTATTTTATTTTTCTCTCTCAGGTTATAGTAGCTTTGTCTGAAAAGTCCAGGAGTCACATTCCTTACCGTAACTCCATGATGACATCTGTTTTACGAGACAGGTAGAAAACAAATTGTTTTCTTTGGTGAACTACATCACTCTATAGAGATAATGGGTTGAATTTGACCATTGACTTTTCAACCCCTCCTTCTGATAAATCTTACTCACAGGTTTTTTAACTTCTCTCTATTTCAAGTCTAAACTAAACTTTGTTGCGCTTTTTTAGCACTATTTGGTTTGTTCCTTTTCACACTTTTAAATTTAATAAATATAAAACGGCGCGCGTGTCTCTGTCCTCTGATATAAACACGGTGGGAATTGAAAAGCAAAAGAGAAGCAAGCTTAGAAACACGAGCGTAGCAAGTGTTTCTCTTGCTTCTCGAGTGCTTTCCAACTTCCACCGTGTTTATATCAGAAAACAGAGACGCAAGCGGCCGTTTTATAGTTCTTTTTTATAGTGTTCTTTTTATAGTTCAAGCGAAAAACAAATTTTGCCGGCAAGCCGTGTCTATGTCCTCTGATATAAACACGGTCGTCAGCCAATCAGAGCGCGCGTTATATTTCAAAAAATTGTATAAAAAGAAATACGAATGTGGGCAGGTACTGCTGAAGGAGAACTTTCAACGATAAATCACACTTTTAGTGTTTACATTCTAAGTATTAATTTATTATTACATATTAATGAAATGGCACAATATATTCCCACAAATTTTGCATTTGGTCTTAATTTACTGAGGTATATTTGATTGATTTCTTTGTTTTTAGTCTTGGTGGTAATTGTATGACTACGATGATTGCAACTTGCTCTGTGGAGAAAAAGAATTTAGACGTAAGGAAAGAATTTTGTCAGCATATTCATTTTGTTGCAAAATTAAACTGATTTTTCCTATATTTTTCAGGAATCCATCTCCACCTGCAGGTTTGCACAGAGAGTAGCTATGATTAAAAATTATGTTCTCCTGAATGAAGAAACTGACCCTAAATTAGTAAGTCTTACTCAGAAGTACTGTAGATCTTTGTCTGTGTGGTTTAGTACTCTCTGCTAGGTTCATGCAGACTGCAAAATGTAGAGACGTCATTTTGGACAGCAAAGCATGGTGGGTGCAGGGGGGTGCGCACCCACTCCTGAGATCTGTACCCTTCAATACTTACCTTATTTTGTATCTTCATGGTAATGATTTTTGTGTGGTGCACCCCCTCCTGAGAGGCCCACACCCCTCCCTGAGGAAAATCCTGGATCCGCTCCTGAGCATCCCCTTGTTTTTGTAGCCCTTAATCTACCTAATAACCGGCCAAAACGACCCAAATTGTTCATTTTTGAAAAAAACGAAAAATGGCTTTGGAGGACTGTTTTGATGGACATRAAAAAGTGYAAGGACTACAGCTCCCACTTAGCCTGATTTCCAGACGAATGGCACAACTTGGGTTAAAATGTCTATACTTGKTGCACGCGATACTTGTAGGAAGTGTCGTACTTTTGTGTGAACAGTAAGTGAAGGATTCCATGATTTGAAGTAACGATGCTGGTTATTTTTTTAAAGATAATTGCTCAATTAAAACGAGAAGTCCAGCAGCTCAAGGCTGAGATTGCGATGCAAACAGGAGAGCAATATACTGAAGACTTGACTGAAAGTGAAATAGAAAGGTTTGTTGCTGGATTTGATCAATAATAAATACACCGCAATATAAGCAAAAAAAAAAAAATACTCTTTTGCACTGCAGACTAAAGAGAATGGTTTCAAGCTTCATTGATGATTCAGACCCTGAAGCCACCCTCAGTGTTGGTGCTGACATGAGAAAGATTAACATGTGCTTCTGGTTGCTAAAGGTTTGACTTATGTAATTTACACATGATCACATGACACATGGTAAATACGTGTTCTTCGTTTTCACTACACGTCACAGCGGCCATTTTGGAGGAACTTCAACAAATAATTTCTCATTAGAATCTATTGTTCATTCATCCAGCATGGCCGCCAGTCTTTTATCTTTTGAATCTCACGAGAATGGTTGAGAAAACGATCAATACAGTTGTTTCGTTGAAAACTGAAGATTGTGTATTCCAAGACCGAAATGCATTGTTGGTCGTTCAATCTCTGTCTAAAAGGCGCTTTTGTGGTTTCAGAGTTATTGTACCAGCTCCGCTCAGTCGTGAACTTCAAGAGAAAGCGATTTAGTTTTGAATTGTATTTTAAMAAGGCACATTTGTGTAAAAAGATAAATATAACACCGTAAAATATAGGTGAAAAAAATTTACTGACGTTTCGAGGCGTCAACAGACMGTGAAGACTTTGGGGCTCAAGATTGAAACTCCATGAAAATACATGCAAAATTCGCTAACTGTATATGTAACGTTTGTTTTGGCATTTTTAGGGTCACGTTCTTGATAAACCAAAGGGTCTGTCTCCATCAGAAAGGTTAATGCTCTAACTTATTTATGATCGACCGTAATTATTTCATCCAATATCTCCCAAACTATTCTTGTGATAAATATTTGGACCCAAATAGTGCAAAGCTGTAGAGAAAAAAGGTTGTTATCATTGAATGGCTACGTCTATGAAAATTGTTAGATATTGAAAGGAACTTGAAATTTGAGAAGACTTATCTATATATTTCAACATACAACAATATGCMRAAATTAWGRTCATTTTGACTCATATTCCAAGTTTGTATAAAATATATCAGAAATTAYGGGATATCATCGCYAATATTTTTTTGAAGTTGCCTAGCACTAGTGCTTTTTTTAAAAATATATTGGCAATGATATCCCATAATTTCTGTTATATTTTATATATAYTTGAAGTATGAGCAAAAAAGATAATAATTTCTGCATATTGTTGTATTTCCTAAGATATAAGAGGTTTTCTAAAAAGTGTGGAGTAAATAACATAATTTACTGTATGGAATGACTTGAAAGAAAGACATTTCACTGACAACGTTTCGATGGGTATTTTGGGCCATATATTCTTTACTGCTTTTTGAAATATAGGAGTTTTCATCAAGTAGTACTTCCTCATGAATTATTTGTTTGTCGTGTTGCCTCAATTAAACTAGTTTTTTTTGTAGTTTTAGATCTAGAGATGATAGCAATAGTGTAGACAGCAGTTACCTTGGACAWCACACTGAAGTATCCAAGCTGAAGGAACTAATAAAACAACGCGATAACGAGATCAGTATCCTTATAATATACAATTCTTCATATCACACTAAACCTTATCCAATATTATTTGTCAAGCAAACTGTATTTGAACTCATTTTTTTACCACTCTTTTGTGAATTCT